AACCTGCTATAAAGGAAAAAAGCTCGGTTTAATTTTTCACATACCTAATACTTTCCATTGTCTAAGTGAATTTTTCTCTGTAATTTATGTTTACAAACCGACTTTTTTGTTGTTGTTGCTTTGTTTTCCTGTGGCAACACCCTAAAATCAAAAGTCCTTTAATGTTACCACTGCTCAGTTGCTTAACTGTTTTCTAAATTGTTTGTACTCTGCGGTGCTCGGAAAAGTCTTGATTTAATCAGAAATATCTGCTTTGCCCTTAGATCATAAATCTCCAGAGAGACTAAAACACAAAGGGATGTCTGGACAGGGGAGTAGATGTCTTCCTATGTAATGTGGCCTTATTGGAACCAGAAGTGACTGAAGTATGTCCAGACGCGTGTTATGGAAGACCGTTTGAAAACAGATGTTAAAACTTATCCCGACTACGATCATACATAATCGAGGGAGTGATTAGCAGAGGGGGTTTGTGTGTTTTAACAGATGAAATTGCCAGTAATTTTCACACTTCGTCATAATATCCATGTCCAATGTCCCCGTCACAAGACTGGTGACAGTTAACAGAAGCATTGATGAGACAATCTTTTAGCAGTGAGTAAAAGACCGGAGAACTGGGGGCCATCTGTTGCTCGAGCCCAGGAGGTTTGGGTGGAAGTTATTTGTAAATGGTAAAGTGCAGATGTAGCTCGGAGCACACCTGCAGGCAACAAGGGCGAGCTCTGTGGGAAACCTAGACAGCTGCTATAAATCATCACAAACAGTCCTAAGTACCGTTCGCTAACAACCTTCATGAAAAAGGTCCACCGTGCTTGTCAACCTTCACCTCCTTCAGTGAGCTAAATCCTAAAAACTTCACATGGCACAAAAAGTAAGGAAATTTGTGTTTGGTTGATAAGTCTTTGTTGTAATGATTATTGGTAATTACTTTTTTTTGGGAAATCCTGATTATTTCCCCAGAAAGGTGCCACATTTGTGAGGAAAACCAATTTGTTGGTTTAGCAGCAGAGGGTGGCACGGTGGCGCAGTTAGAGTTGTTGCTTCTCAGCGAGAAGGTCACCCGGCTGGTGGGCCATTCTGGGTGAAGTGTGCATGTTCTCTCCGTGCATGCGTGGGTTTTCTCTGGGTACTCCGGTTTCCTCCCACAGAACAAAGCATGCATGTTAGGCTGATTGGTAACTCTAAATTGTATCTAGGTGTGAGTGAGAGAGTGAATGTTGTCTCGTTTGTCTCTGTGATGGACTGGAGACCTGTCCAGGGTGTCCCCCACCTCTTACACATGATAGCTGGACATGGGCACCAATGACCCCAGTGACCCCGAAAAGGAAGAATTGGCTAAAGATAATGGAGGGATGAGCAGCAGAGTTGAGTCTGAGTCCTAACCCCTGAAAAAAACAATGAACCTGCCATTGAATTAAACTTTTTTCAATGAGCTGTAAGGTCACCAACAAATGGATCCGTATATGTAAGTAAAAATAAAAAGATGATTAAAATCAATGAAACCTTTAATGACTCGTTGATTTTAAAATATCCTGAAAACAAGTCCTCTCTGATTTTGTCTTCCAAGCAGTTTAAGAAGCTTTTCTGTTACGGTTAGAGCTGACGTTCACTGTTCACTGACAGGTTGTATTTAGATTGAGCAGCGAGGACGCCTGCTGCCTTCTCACACAAAACAAGTGCAAAATGTTCACACCTGCTGAACTGGATGTTTGCACCAGTTTATAATTAGGACAATTTGCTTTTTAAACATGAGGCAAAATGAAATAGGCTGCAGGAGCAAGTTAGTTTGCTAAACCAGAGTAGATTGCACTCAGTAGTGAATTTAGAATTCAACTTTTTTTAAAACAAATAAAGAAACCAAGAGGATGCTGCAATATCTCATCAGAGCAGCTTCCAGCAGCGGCTGGAAAACAGCAGCTGATTTCAATCTAAAAACACAAGCCATCCCACCTGCAATGGATCAAACAACAGACAGATGAAGTCAGCAATAAGTAGCTTGTGGACATACTGGAAAATTTAAAGCTAGACTTTCCTTAAGGATGTGATGGAAACCAAACAACAACAAAAAAGTTCTTCAGATGGGCAAATGCTTTACAGCACGTTTGAACGCATGTCCTGGACGTGTAAACGGGAAACTTTCTGCTAACCGTTGCTGCGTAAACTTAAACAAGATGTGTCTGAAAGGCCAACAGTGATGGAGAGTTGTGCACGAGACAGGCAAACAAACATCTGTGTTTAATACTCAAATAACAGAACAAAGCTAAAATCACTGATGAGCAGGTTAGTCGAAAAGATTTAAGGTGAGAGGAGACCAATACAAGCGTGATAATCTGTCAGAAAGCAATAGTAACTGGGCAGATTATTAACTGAAAAGTTGGTGACAAATGAAGAACAAGTGAATGGAAGGAAACTACTTAATCCAGATGTGAACCAAAAGTACTAACTTTTACAAATAACAGGGACTTAGCACAAAAAAAGGTATAAGAAAACAGACAAAACACAAAAGTCCTTGCAGTCCTTGCTCAATAATCTATATTTAAAATCCAACAATGTTCAGTCATGTCATCTGGACAGTTTTTTTTTTTTTTGTGTGTTGAGACGTTTCGCCCTCCATCCAGAAGGCTTCATCAGTCTGAGGAAACACCAAACAAAACCGATTCTCCAAAGTGGAAAAAAACTGTTATGTTGATGCTAAGATGACCTCCGGTGCCCACCCTCTCCCTCGTCAACAGTCATGTCAAACTGGTTCTAAACACCAAAGTCCATGCTCAATAATCCAGGTGTTTGGAACCAGTTTGACATGACTGTCGACGAGGGAGAAGGTGGGCACCGGAGCAGAGGGCGTGCCCCAGAGACCATCTCAGAACCAACATAACTGGGGTTTTTTTTCCACTTTGGAGTAAGCTGTTGGGGATAAATCAGTTTTGTTTGGTGTTTCCTCATATTGATGAAGCCTTCTGGAAGGAGGGTGAAACGTCTCAGCACAAAAAAAGAAAAAAGAAAGAAAGAAATCTTCCAGATGAACTGACTGAACATTGTTGAAAGCAAACAAAACTTACGTCAATCTTCAGAACCGAATTCAATTAAAGAAGTGGGAGAAGAAAAAAAAAATCTGTGATTTTTGGATCCTAAACAACAATTTTCTGCTAATTTGACACAAAAACAATGTTTTAATGTTATTTTTATTGTGAATTTACATAGGAACAATTTATACATTTGCTGGCCTCTCAGTTGCAATAAAAAGATTTATACATGTACTGTAAATGCATATTTACACACATGCATGCAAACAAACACAAGCTGTGCTTCATTAGTCCAAGTCTATGTGGGTTCCATTTCTTTATATATGATCCAAACTGATGGGGTCAAACAACACCTGAACAATAAAACAAACACATAGACAACTAACAAAATAATAATAACAATAATAATAACAATTGAAAAAATTTTATATATATATATATATATATATATATATATATATATATATATATATATATATATATTACATACAAATTTTTAACAGTTCACATTTTCCAAATGTCTTAACTTTTCCTTAATCTAATTTATCAGGGTCATACCAGTCCTATACTTCATTTTCTTCATCTTTAAGTTTTGCATCTTTAACAAACAAGTAAAATGGTGCCCAAGCCTCCTCAAACTGCTCCCGCTTCCCTTGCTGTATGTATGCTATTCTCTCCAGAAAAACATTTGTCTGATCCAAAATGTAACACTTGGGCTATTTGTATTTTTTCAAAAGAGTGCAATTGAGTTTTTTGGCAAGTAAAACACACATATCTATCAAAATACCGTGCTTTTGGCTATATTTGTGACCCTTGGCGTATAAACCTAAGATGTACCGGAGCCATAAAAATATTTTTAGAAATAAAAACATTTTTATTCCAAAAATACAAATTACAAAGCAACATCGAAGCCCCATTTCTTAACACAATTTTCTTCACTTTAGTCTGGTCCATCTTAAACAAATTATAGAACAATTTAAAAGTCATTGTGTATTCACTGTGGATAAAGTCACAGTCCTGGAATGAGACAGTCTGAGCTCCTTTCTTGTCTGTCTTATTCAAATCTGTATACATCATGAAAACGTCTCAACAAAACAAAAGAAGCCATCCAGATGACCTGACTGAACTTTGTTGGATTTTCTACCTGGATTACTGAGCATGAACTTTGATGTTTTGAACCACTTTGGCTATGGCTGCCTCGGAGGAGTCGACAGGGGAGAGGGTAGACCCCAGAAACCATCTTATCCAGTTGTCCACTATGTGGGTGCGCTGCTTGTGGGAATGAGTTTGTTGTGGCTCCTCGGACTGATGAAGTCCTTTGGATGAAGGATGAAACGCCTCAACAAAAAAAGAAACCATCCAGATGACCTGACTGAAATTTGTTGGATTTTCTACCTGGATTATTGAGCTTGAACTTTGATGTTTTGAACCACTTTGGCTATGGCTGCCTCAGAGGAGTCGACAGGGGAGAGGGAGGGCCCCAGAAACCATCTTATCACCAGCAAACTTGTTGGTCTACTATGTGGGCGTGCTGCTTGTGGGACTGACTTTGTTATGGCTCCTCGCACCGATGAAGTTCTTTGGATGAAGTATGGAACAGCTCAAAAAATAAAAAATAAAACTGTCCAGATGACCTGACTGAACTTTTTTGGGTTTTATCATTAAAGCATTTCTCATTCTCATGTCATTCAGATCAGTTGATATTTTCCAAGGCCTTATAGTCAGCTAATGCCTAATCAGAAGTTGAGCTGTAGAGAAGCCGAATGCCAAGAATGATTTATATTACCATAGATTTATAGGAAACTGCCCTTTCACAATCAAGTAAAAGTAGAGTAACAACCTACAGAGATAATAGCTTACTTTAAAAAACATCCAGAAAATAAAAGATCAAAGTCATTTTCTACCAGGAACAAAGTTGAATTAATACTGTTTAGAAAGATTCCTACAGTCAAAATGATTCTGACATCATTTGTTTTGCAGCAGAGAAGCCTTTGCGGTCCCCAAATGGGAAACAGACAGCTGTGGACAAGGTCTTAAGGGAGAGCTGGCAGCCTTCTATCCATCTGGATGGAAGACCTGTGGATCGTTTCGTTATGAGCTCCAGCAAACCCAGCCGTTCCCACCGCTTCGCCAAAGTGAGCAAGGACACTCGCTCACATCCACCAGAGGATGTCGGTAAGACCAAAGTCAAACGAGAGGGTGAGAATGTGAGACGTAAAGAACAGGTAGTTACGAGTGTCTGATCATGCTTGAGAGATTCTGCCAACAAAATTGTGGGCGAAAAAACAGTTACTGGGAGGAAAATAAATGCACAGGTTTGGCTTAAACTATGAAATGAGCTTTCAAATCTCAGAGTTCTCCATTTTCTCACAGCAGGAGCCAACAGGGATGAGCAAATCTGTACACAAAGTGGACACAAGGAGTGTGCGTGAGTGCATGTGATGAATTTATTTTCCATGGACTAATTCATAATTGGATGCACTGTTGTTAAAGTTTGCCAGAAAGGCAAGTAGAAGGTCAGAAGCAGGCAGGGGATGTTTTAGGCTTTAATCAACGTGTTTCGTAGCTTCTGTAGTAATTCCCAGTCTGATCTTGTAAAGTCTAGTTTGGGTTCTTATGTCTCTATACACAAAAACAGTAGCCTTCATTGTCAAGACAGTGCAGCCTGCTATTGTCATTATTCCATTTTCTTTGGTCTTTGGCATCTTAGAGCCATACTTCATCAGCTTCTAAAAGTCTGCAGCCAACCCTTTTCCAAACCCAGCCCAGCTCTTATAACCCAATCCTCTGTTTGTGGTTACTTGTTATGAGCATGTGTGCAATATAAGTGTGGGCTGTGGTGAAAGCTAAGGGTGGTTCAGAGCAATGAAGTCATGCATTGTCATGTATTGTGTCTCTTTTTGTTTAAAAAGAAATAAAAACATCCATAGATGTTTGTGCGTGGTGCCCAGTGAATGTTGTGGCAGCCCCTGTGGGTCTCTGCAGCTCCGGTGAGGTGGGCCATAAATCTGCGTTTAGTCTCGGTGTTGCTTCTCCAGAAATTCCTCAGGGTTCACGTGCTGTTCCCCGAGCAGCCTGAGAGCTGCATCGCTCATCATAAATAACGTTGCTCGCTTTGCTTTTACATCATTAATGTGTCGGGCCAACCGCAGTTGGAGAAACAAAGAAAAAAAAAACTCTGTTGATCTGTTACGAGCAAGAAGAACCAGGATGGACAGTCACAGGAGAAGAAGATTAAGAAAATAAACTCTTTTTTTTCCCCATTGATTTTTTTTCGGCTTCTCCCTTCCTCAGGGGTCGCCATACCAAACTAACTTGCACGAAGACTTGGCAATTGTTTTTACGCCGGATGCCCTTCCTGACGCTACAACAGACCACCGAGCTAGAGTTGCATTCCGGGACAAAAAAAATTATCCGACCTGCAGGTCCCAGCCCGTAGCCATCATTTCCGAACCCTACCCGACCTGATGAATTAACAGTAACTACAGGACCGAACCCAAAAACCCCCCAGACATTTTTTATTATTTTACTGCTTATATAGTTATTAACGGTCTGCGGACGCGCGCAGCTGAATAAAAGGGGCAGAAGATCGGAGCTGAGGGGGTGTTTATCCTTTTATGGCCGTCAAAGCGCATTAAAAGCCTGTTTCTGCCTGCATTCTACATTATTCAGACACAGACCGCTCTGACATGTCTGTTTTGGGATCTCACCTGTTTGGGCCGTCGACCGCGCGCGTCCGCTGAGTTCAGCAGCTGAATGAATGCTTATTTGGGCGATGGATCGCTGCCTGACAGTATAGTTCCATCTGAAGCTTAACTGAACTTTATATTGCCTCTTTCAAGGCTGGTCAGCTCGCGGTGAAATGGCTGTGTGCGGCTAGTGAATGTATGGTAAGCCATGTTGCCATATAATTGGATTGTATGGCAAGCGATGTTGCCATATAATTGGATCACTGCTGATCTGCTGACGCAATCAAAAGACCAACACCGACACACCCCACCCATAAAGAACATTATCATGGCCCTGCTCGTCCCGAATTTGGGTCGGACCGGGCTTCGGGCCTGGGTTAGAAATGACAGCTCTACTACCTGTAGTGAACCTAACCTGAAGTAATAAGCCTAAGGTCGAAACACTTGACCTTAAGAACCTTGTGGGACAGAAACTGTTATTTCATTGATCTGCATCCAGAAATACAGTTTGACCCATCCTGAGACTTTCTTTCTTGAATTAATCAAGTAGAAAAGACAATTCTCTATGATCATTACTATTTTACAAATGTTTGATAATCAAATTGTGTTAGTTCACTCAATGTTTACAGGTTGAAGAGAACTACTCATTTTTATTTACATAAACAGTAAGTAATGATTTTTATTCCTCATTCAAAGAAGAAATCAGGGTAATATGCATTTCTTGATTTTTCTGTCTTCAATGAGCAAATTTGTAAGTATGTTAAGGTTCAAGTTTCGGTCAACTAAAAGTTTACTGAAAAAGAAATGTCATGTTTAACTGTTACAGCAGATAATAAGAGTAGAGACTCCACGAAGTCTGAAGTTCTCCAATAATCTTTCTGTCTGTCACTAAAACAATCCTTGACTTTTCATAACACCTTACATCACAAACCACACCTCTTTTCTGGTCCATCGACCAATCAAAAAGCTCTCAAATGACCCGGAAGTCGACCCATTTAAATGTGGCAACTTCCCAGTCTAGCTGCTGCGCTCAGATTGAGTTCAACATGGGAGTTTTCAGAGCTTGAAAGTTTTCCTGGAGAAGAGTTCCAGACTTTAACTCTCTGAAGAGAGTTAAAGAGTTCAGAGTTCTTGGATGCCAACGCAGGCGTCCAGAATGCTTCTATTGGAATACAGAATGCAGTGACGATTTTGGGAATTATAACTTCTGTTTGGATAACCTCGCACGACTCTCGAAGTATTTTAGCTGCTCTCAACGGAGACGCTGAAAGAGTCAAAGGAAGGATTCTATACCGACGCTGACCTATCGTCAACCAGGTAAAAGTTCTACTTCGACCAAGCGTACCGTGACCAAGCTGAGAACTGAAGGAGCGTGCACGTTTCTGGTCAAACAGATTAATTCCCTCACACATCTCTCTGTAAGATAAATCTCCATTTTCCATCTTAAACTCTCCTTTCTCCTAAAATCATTACAGATATTTTAGAAATATCTGAAGCAAAGTTCTCAATCACCGCCGTGTGATTGATGTCTGCTGTTCTGCTGAGAAGTGAGGACAATCTCCGTATTGTTCCAACTTTCTGTGAAACTAGCCATGTTATTGTTTTCATATTCTGCCAAATTAATGTAAATGTGTGATGTTAAACTTTGATTCTGCAAATAAATGACCGCATTCATTTGATGGGTCAAAGATAAATAACGTCTCTCGTTAGCATTTCTGTTAAACTCAACGCACGACATTGACACAGTCAGAAAAATGAAGAACCCGTCTTAAACAGTATGAATATATCCTGCATATGTCATACTACATACCACAGCCCTCTGTGTGGAGCAGAGAGCTGCTATCTAGGGCGCCTGCAGGAGCAGATGCAAGGGTTAAGGGCCTTTCTCAAGGGCCCAGAGTGGGGCAAATGAGGGTGGAGGCAAGTGTGGGTGCTTCACCTTTCCCACCCACTTTTTGATGTTGATTGTACTGGGGAGTTGAACTGGTGATCTTCCGATCACAGGCCCACCTTCTCTAACCTCTGTGCCACCACCCCCACCTTTCTTCTCCATTGATATTAACAAAAATGACCTGCTACATCGATAACAAAACCAAATAAGACAAAAACAAATAATTATTTAAATCAAAGGCCTTAAATGACAGTTTTAAATTAAGATGTCATGTCATTTTGCCATTTTTGCTCAAATGAAAATTAAGATATCTGCAGTCTTGTGCAATATTGTGAGCTGTCATGCTAAAAGTTGTGAAGAACTTTATCACATCAAATTTGAGCTTAAAATCTGTAAAATTAAGTGAATTGCTGTTGTTTTCTTTTTTTTAAGCTCAGCTGGCTGGGGTAGCTATCTTGCCACACACGCACGGAAAAAACATTATTGTCCTCCTTTGCTCATTGGCAGCAGGTGATAAAAACACATTTTGTAAAAGATAACAAAACACATTTTTTGTGTCTGTTTGGTTTTCAGGCCCAGAATTGATTAACTTGGATGGCTTTGCTGTGTTGGTCAATCCTCCCGTCAACTCATCAGCAGGTAAATCTCAAAGAATCATTACTGTTAAGGGAAACGTGTGATCATGTACCACCCAAATATACATTACATGTATGCTTTAAGCTTTTACAGCGTTATTATGGCTGTCAAAATTATATTCCCTGGCTTGCTTTTACCACTAATGAAAACACTTGTCATGCTTTTTCATTTTTTTACCTAGGCACTGTATATTTTACTTATGGGTGATTCAGATTTTCCATACGTGTCTCAGCTTTACTGATGCATTTCACATAAATCCCCACGTGTTTGCATGTCAGTCTCAATAGATCCAGCATGACAACGTGTTTGCAGAGACTTGTGGGCTTGTTGAAGGATAACTCATTAGGGGATTTGTCAGAGGCTTCAAGACGCTGTTGTGATGTTTAATCGTGTCATTCTCCATTTAATATTTCTGTATGTGCACAACCTGTAGAAAACAACACAGAATATTGGGGTTTAATAACTGTTATTCACTTGGTGCTACTTTGTACTTGTTCCAGGAAAAACAGCTCCTGGAGTTGAATGTCATGCAGGAAATGACACAACTTATTGTATTTTATTTTGACTTTCATTTCACTGCTTGACAGAAATTTTAAAGTTGAACGTAAATTTCAAGCTACGTAATTGGTGAGTTTATTATATAGATCAAGCCAAATATGTATTTTTTTCAAGCAAATTTGATCTTCATAACATTACGCTCGAGTATATTTATCACCTGGCAAACATTAGAATTACATTTGAATATTTGTGTAGTATAATGGGTGATTTGATAACTCAGTAAACACTCTGTCACGAGGCTTATATGAAGAGATTTGTTTTCTTTCTGCTCCTGTGGAGAATTAATATGCTTATGTAAACTATATATTTGTCAGGAAACAATAAACATCCCCCACTAAAATAATGCAGAGCAATATTTCAACCATTGACTCTTAGTGCTAACCATGAATGTTGCTCTGCAGCATAAAATTAGTTTGTTTGAGGTCGAGCTGCTTTAGAGACAGAGTTGATCATATTTGCTCACTTTTACTTCACAAAAGAAACATTTATCTTTTGTTCAAATAAAGCTGGAACAAAACAAATATGAACGTGAATAATCAGAACAGAATGTTGCAATTAAAATGAATCTTAAAGATTAATTAATTTCAGTAAGGCATGAAAATCAGTTAGCTAATCTAGTCCTGTTAACTGTTAATAATTTAGCTAAGTATTATTTGATGCAAACATTGTGGTATTAGAGAAGGTGTAATGGTAACGTCTTATTGCTGCAGATTTTTCAACATAGATAACCACACATGCTGAAATATATAAGTCTTATTATATAGAGTAATAAGCGTTTTGTACTTGAAGACAGTGGATGCTTAAAGAAATGTGACTGGTGTATAATGTGAGTTAATGGGAAAACACATTAAAAACCACTGCTGAGAAAAAAAAAACATAAATAAACTGCATTTTTCTGCTGTTTGGTGACACTGCAGCACTTTGCCACCTTTTGGGAAACCAAACTGAAGTTGGACCTTCTCTCTTCAAAACTATCGGACTACTAAAAAATACCGTAGAGAATGTCTTGATGAATTACTTTTTATGTGCGTGGATGTCTTTTAAACACAGTACTGTGAAAGTTAAGACCATAGCCTTATAAAAGTATAAATTGAAATCCTGACAACTCGTTTGCAAAGACATGATGCATCAGATTGCCTTGCACACTAAAGGTTTGACCACAAATTTGAGACTGAAGGTCCCCTAAACCAGTGGTTCCCAACACTGGTCCTTGAGGAACACCATCCTGCATATTTTGTTTAACTGCTTTAACACACCTGATTCAGTGATTTAATTAATTCCTGAAGTTCTGCAGAATCACTCGTTCATTCAGATCAGGTGTGCTGGAGGGGAGAAGCAACTAAACCATGCAGGATGGTGTTCCTCAGGGACCAGGGTTGGGAACTACTGCCCTAAACTGTAAAAAGCACCTGAGCAATCTTTCATCTTTCGAGGTCCGTATGCTCTGAATGAACAAATTCATTGCAGATTTTTAATTTGAACTTAATCATTAACAAATTTGCAACAACTGTAGTTGTAAGGAACTGCACTGTACAATGGTATTGTAGTCACAAATCACATAAAGAAAAAAATACATAATTAGTTAGAATGTAGCGTCTTTTTGATCTAAACATCAAGGAGTTATGAGTTTATTACTTGCAGCACTGTTCTTTGGAGATGGTGAAACTTTAGAGATAACATTTCAACCCAACTGTGATGAGCCTTGAGGCACAGAACAGTCACATTTGTCAGGATTTTAGTTTGAACTCTGAGGTGGGAGACTCCACTGTAGCAAATGTAATACTGTAAGTCTGTTTGCAAGCCAACCTCACAGTCCCTTGAGCCATCAAGCTAAAAGACAGGGATCAGATGCCAAAGAATCATTGGTTTAGTTGTTCATGCATTCTGTGATAGAAAAGAACGAACAAGAAACAATGAAGAGCAAAAAATGGAAAGTTTACTGATTCAAACCAAATGAAACTTTCTGTTTTAGCTTATGAGCAGCAAGAAGAGATGGACAAGTTAACTAAAAAATAAACCAAGATGCATTAATAAATTTGAAGTATCTTTAACCAAGAGGTTTTAATTTCTGGTATATAAAAGATAATTAGGTTTTGAAATCCAGTATACTTTTAGCCACATAAAGAAATAATCCACGTTTTTTTATCTACAAGTTATTTTCTGAGCCCTGTTCTAAATAATGAAAGTCATAAAAAGGACACGATTGCAGGGCCTTCACATAAAGCTCTCTTTAAAAGCAGTTAAAATGTGATTTTATTAACAAGAATTGCTAATATTGCACACTGAATTGTGTAAAATGATATCATTGGGAAACACTTGTTCTGAGATGTCGAAGCATCTCTGAATAATGCTCTTTAGGTCCAAAGAGAAGAATTCACCCAGCTGTGCTGGCAGCCAGAGGATAAATCCACACTAAACTCAGACAATAGACTGTTCCAAGTCAAAATAAAACAAATTATTTTCACATGAGATTTTCTGTTGTGTTTATATTTTCATCACTGTCTTTTTACAGTAAGCACTGACAGTTTATTTCAAACAATAATGAAAGATGAGTAATCTCAGTTGGCTTAATCTACCTGTTCATTGGAAATGAAAACTGTACATCACAGCATTTTACACTCATAACTTATTTGATTTTTATCAAATTCATTTTCTGGAGCTTTCGGTTAACTTAAAAGTAGTCGTTGAGCTGTGCATTTAATTGCATTAATCAGAAACAGGATAGATCTTTTTAATATGTTGGTAATTAAGAAATTATATTAGAGAAATAGAAAAAATTATGGGTGAAAAGAGCAATAACTGAAAGGGTCTAGGTTTGATATTATTTGTTTTCTGACACTTCATTACTCATCATTTCATCAGCCTTGATATAAAGTTAAAGTTGCTTATTTGTCAGCCAGACTTAGTGTCTGAGAGGTTGTCCAAAGTGCAGAGACTCGTGAGAAGCAGAACAGAAGAGCAATCAACAGGGAACACATTCCAGTTCCACAGCATTTCCTTTTTGTGATAAAGGGATGAAATTAAGTAATGTTCAGATACATAATTAACGAGCAATGTGAGTGGAAGATTAAAGTGCGGATGTTCACTATAGTTGTAAGTTTTAGCTAGACCTAAAAAGCTACAGATACAAAAAGTTCAGTTCTAATATGAAGGATACTAATTTCCCTGAAGGAATGCACATCACTTTCTGCCTTGCATACCAAAGTTTTGAACAAGATCTCATGTGATCAGTTTAGCTATCTTAAATGGTGTGTTAGGAATTACTCTCAGCTACTACCACATCAAATTTTAGCCCATTATCTGTAAAACTGACAGAGCTACTGTAGTCCCTCACTTATTGCGGGGGTTACATTCCAGATACCCCAGCGATAGGTGAAAATCTGCATAGTAGGGACGTTATATTTATTTTTTTATTTATATACATATATCCGTATATATCGTTCTTCTTGACACAGCGAGCGTTGCACCAGGTCAGAGCTATAGGTATCGGGCAGCGGGGTCTGACAGCGGTGGTGGGGGCGCACACAGAGAGCCGATGTGCACAGTGGCTTCTGCCCTCCCTCCACCACTGGAGTGGGTCTCCTCTGCTGGTCTTGGGGAGGCGAGCACGAGGACACGGGCAGCGTGGAAGAAAGTCTCCACCGGCAGCCCCACCCTGTGAGCACCGCAGACTTGACGGAAGAAGGCACCACCAGAAGCACGCAAGGAGGCGTATGGATTGGGAGGGAAGGAGGGTGGGAAGGGCCATACGGACACCGGAGCTACGATCACCGGACGGGGACCAGACTGCCCTGTCCTTAAAGAGCACAGTGAAAGAGAACAGACAGACTGATGCTACAGTTACTGAGCCAATCAGTGCCCGGAGTACAGAGCACAATGCTATGGTTGATCGCTTTCCATCAGCCAATCGTGTGTCATGTACAATCTTACACTGAAACCCCGCGAAACAGTGAGTTTGCGAAAGTCATACCCAAGTATACACAAGTCGTACCCACCACTGCACTCTGTATTCACTGGTTAACTGGACATCATTAACTTCATGCAGACTCTCTCACTGGTACATTTTCATCTTTAAATCACTTCTTGGTCTGCTGCCTTCGTACAGCTCCTCCTACATGTCTCTGCGTGAGTGCAGCTACAGCGTGCGCTCTCAGGACATTATTACCTGCAGTGTTCCCTCAGTGCGGACTGAACTAGGCAAAAGGGCCTTCTCCTACTCTGCTCCTGTTTCTTGGAATATCTTACAAAAAGATCTGAAGCTCTCGACCTTGACCTCTCTAAGTGGCTTTAAGAATCTGTTGGACTCTTGGCAGGGACCAGTGCAGACATGTTCCTGTTTTTAGTTTTCTACATTCACCTTAGAATCTAGCTGTTTTTGTTACTTTTCTTTTTTCTTTTTTTAAATTTGGCCATCCTATTTGTAAAAAAAAATAAAAAAAATAATATTGTATGACTTTTTATAACTGTTTATTGTTGTTGCTGTTGTCCATTATTGTCATCATTCTTTGTTGAAATCAGGTCTCTCTTGTAAATGAGTCCTCGAGGCTCAGTGGGATTTACCTGTAGAAATAAAGGTTGAATGAATGAAAAAAGTCAAACTGTGAAGTATCGAGGGACTACTGTAGAACCATTTTTATGTTTGCTTAGGTTGATTAGCTGTGCTGAGCACCATGATTTAACTCCAAAAAATTATTGGTTGTAGATGTACATCCAGTGATTGCTTTTCACAGGATTTCAATAAATGATCAGACTTGCTTAATTTTATGATCATCCACTGACAGGCTTGGTCAAGTCCTCTCAAACTGCTGCCAGAAATCACGCAACTGCAAGCCGACCAACCAGGGTGAACAGAACGGCTCGTCCTGCGGGCGTGACGTCTACCTGGATGCACAGGAGAGCACCTCAGTCCTCCTCAGGTCATGGGCAGCCCGTGAGAGCCGTGGAAGGAGCCTCACCGCTGGAAAGAAGACACCAACGCCAAACCAAACCTCAGGCAGACCAGCGAAACAGACAAGCACCCAAACTTGGTAAGAATACATCTTAAGTCATCACAATAATTAAGCAAATAAATTTAATATGTTGGATAATAAATTATTTTAATGCATTACTATAGCATGATTTCTACAAATAAACAAGCACTGAAACACATTTAAAAAGCATCTGGATGCTATCCTTTCAGTTTGTTGGTGGGGCTTTTGTCATGAAAGAGTAACTAAGAGGATATATTTTGTTTGGACTACCTTTAGTGTCCATAGTGTAAACCCTGGCCGTGCCTGGTATCCCTTTCTATTTGTAGCATCTGAGTCCGTTCATGTGGTGTCACTGCAGGCACAGAAGGCCCAGGGACAAAGTGCACCCGCCAACAGGGACATAACAGCAAAAACTGCACCACCAGGTAGGTAACTGAAGAAAAAACTTACTTTGTTGGTCTGGACTGAATGTTTTTTTGTTTTCATAAATTTTCATGTGGGTGTGTCTTTCAGAGCCACCTGAATATGAAGCCCGGGACATCAGTGTCAGGGTCATGTCTCCAAAGTCTGTCCTTATCTCCTGGGTTGACCCTGCTGTTGAAATGGGAAAAGTTGCCCCGGGAGCATCAAGGTACGCTTTTCCAAAGTGTGCATGTAGCAGTTTAAATGTTACAAAGAAACTGAGAGAAATGCCAGAGAGAAAATCTAACACTGAAATAAAACATTGTCTCTTGCTCTGAACTTAGGTCATACACAGTTAGGTTCAGGGAGAAAGGTGAGTCAGCGCGCTGGGAGTACAAGGAAAGTACCCAGAGGAGAATGATGATCGACACCCTCTCTGCTGACGGCATGTTCGAGTTCTCCGTCAGAATCTCTCAGGGAGAAAAACACAGCAAGTGGAGTGTCTCAGTATTTCAGAGGACTCCTGAGTCTGGTTTGTACTGTCACTATAGGCTGAAGGAAATTTGCTCTTGCATGACTTTTCCTGTTAGGCCTTTTCTACTTGTTTTTTTAAGTCACACCTCATTACAATCACCACCAAACACCCGCATGCGATATATATTTTTGGCTGCAGCTCTGTCATGATTGGGACTGTTATATTGAGTCACAGGAGCTCCTGAGCTGTGGTTCACTGGAATGTCAGACTTTACTGCCTGGCTCACCGTTCAGATCTCCATCTGCAGCTTCATAGAAATTGTCATGGGATAGTTTCTTTCAGTTTAAGGCAGCTGCATTTTGCTCAGTGGACATTTTGGCACAAGTCCTCACTTTTTCATGCTTTAAGCAACACTTTTCTAAAACTTCATTTTGTATTGCCTGTCTCTTTTTTTACTGCTCCTGTTTCATCCATCTTTCCATTCATTTCCCATCTCCTCTCATTGATAGCTCCATCTGGACCACCTGAAGATTTTGAAGTCAAGCCACTACGAGGAAAAGGAACTGCTGTCATTGCAACATGGGATCCTCCAGAAGAACCTAATGGCAGGATAAGAGGTGAGACCAGAAAGAATAAAGATAGATAAAAGAAAGAAAGACTTTCTAAAAAATGTATACAGTACAGTATAATTTTTGCATTAGACGAAAGTCCAAAATTAAGAAAAATATTAGGGATGCACAATATTGGATTTTTGGCCGATATCCGATATGCCTATATGTTAAAACTTATTTGGTCGATAACCGATACCAATATTTTATATACTTTCCTTTGTTAGAACATAACCCTCACATTTAGGCTTATTTGCTACAAAAATTGTGTAACAGCTGTAAGAGCTGGTGACATACATTCAGTAACAGCCATATGAAATGATTAGCACTTTAACTTATATTAAATGAAAAGTGTTAAATATTATTTATTAGCATTAGTCACCTGCGATGCTGTCTCATTTGTGGAGGCTTGTTCTGGGTTCCTAGCTGCAGTGTGGGATCCTCTGCACTCTTGTGCATGAAGAACAGCCTTTCTAAGTTCTGTTTTTGTCTATCCATTGTGCCGTAAGACTAATCATGCTAACGGGGCTAACACAACGTCCAAATGTCTGTGGTAAAACTCACCCAAGTGCTAACAGCTATTAGCTTTTCAATGATGTCGGAAATGACGGCTTGTAACTCAGGTAGCGTTACATCGGAAAAATATCTCCAACTGGGGACGATGTAACGAGGCTCAACATAATCCAAAAATCTTCATAAATTCGAAAGTCTCAATGAAAAAAAAAACCTTCCACACCACCGACATTTTGAATTTTCCTCTCTGCCATGAAATCAGGTAGGCACGCATTATGTCATCATGTTGTGCTGCCACTGCAGGCATCCTTGTCACTGGGTTGTCACACATAAACAGCATATTTTATATCGGTGGGTTATTTTGATGGAATGATCGATGTTCGATATTGAACTTTAATGCTAATATCATCCAATACCATGCCAATAATATTGTGTATCTCTAAAAAATATGTTTTGTTTGTCGTGATAAAGCATTAATTATAATGATTTCCAATATTATTTTTTGAAACAGACTCGAAAGGTAGACATGAATGATATAAAGTCTGGAACAGTGATCATAATTTGGCAGCTACTTACTCACATCCTGCCTACAAAGTATTACAGTTTTGATAATACATGCACAATGTATAAGATGGGAATCAGATGTAGCTCAGCTCAAAAGGGTTAATGACTACAGTTGAATTGAACTTTTAAACTGGTGAGTTGCTGAAAGAAAATAAATGCTACATCAGAAAGTATTAGGCTAAGCTAATAATTTCCAAGGGATTTGTATCTGTAACTAGTTGTGGCATAAAATCCCGTCAACTTGTTATCAATAACTTAGTGCAATCATTACAACAATACTGAAGTCTCGGGATAGTCATTTTTACTTTAAGACAGAAATAAGAATTACTTTTCTTAACTTCAAAATCAAAGACAATAGCTCACATTTCCAACTCAGTGTTTTTGCTCTACTTCTGCAGAATATATTCTGTCTTATGCCCCTGCTATGAAACCATTTGGCATGAAAAGTGTCACGTACCGTGGCAGCACCACTACAGCCACCATAGATGGTCTGACCCCAGGAGAACGTTACATTTTCAAGATAAGAGCCACCAACAGAAGGGGAATGGGACCACAAAGCAAGGTCTTCAGTGTTGCCATGCCAGAGTGTAAGCAGATTTGACTGAACAGGAAATGAATGCATGCAAGCTTGAAAATGACACATCTCCATGATCATGATCATTTTTGTCTCTGTCAGCCAGGAGTACCGTCCCATCTTTCTCGAAAAACAAAGACAGCCAGAGGACAAGCCACTCATCTTCTAAACAGGATGTGGTTGATAAAAAACCCAATTCACCATCAAAACAGGAACCAGAGGAACCAGCCTCAACCCCTAAACCACCCACCAAGCATGTACGCCCACTTTCCCAGACACGTTCCTATCACAGCATTTTTTCCTCTATCAGAAACTCAGTCAGGAATGGTGTGAACAGAGGTTCATCTAAAGAAAAAGCTAAAGAAGATGAGGAACAAGAAGAAGATAAAGTATCCACAACCCCACCTCCTGCAGACGAGACAACTACTGAACCTAGGCCAGAGAGAGAAGAGCTGGACAACAATGTCTCCCTTATGTCTGAGGATGAAATTGAATATATTAAAGAGCCCACAACAACTGAAACCCCAAGCCATAAAGTTTTGACACCCTCTCCAACCAAACCTGTGCATAAAAATCCTTATAAACCGAACAGAAGGCCATTTAAGATCAGGGTCCATGAAAAAGCCGGATCAAAGGCTACTTCTTCCTCCTCTTCCAAAAGTCCATCCTCATCTTCATCCTCATCTTCTTCCTCTTTATCCTCATCTTCTTCTTCTTCATCCTCATCTTCTTCCTCCGCAACCTCATCATCCTTTTCTTCTCACGTACAAGAGTCAGCAGCAAGTAGAAAGGACCATGTAATCTCCACATATCCAGAGACACAAAGTATGTACAATAAATTCAATGTAACACAAGCGAAACCTTCTACTACAAGTCAAAAAGAAACCAACTCACAGCAGACAGACACTACACTGAGGGGCAATGTCTCCTCCTCAGCAGAGCATACCAGTGGTTCTGCTTCTGTTTTTTCTTCAAGATATGGTTCTGGTAGAAGAAAACCTGGAATTTTGTTCAGAGGGAACACAACCCGGTTGCTAAATGGCTACAAACCTGCTGTCACCACTCAGCTGAAAATCACTAGCAGAACCCAAAGCCAGGTTTCCTTAAACCAACCAACAGTCAATTCTCAGTCCACCTTACCAGAAATAACTCAAAGTCATGAAACATCATCACCTTTCATTCCACAAACATCCACGTCCCATTCAAGAAACACTTTGAACAGTCATTCAACAACAAATGTAAATGATTCTAACAAATCACAGTTCGCATCAAATTCAAGGTCTCGTGATCCAAAAACTTTGAAAGACACTAATTTACCCACTTCACAGAGAATAGCAATTCACCATTCAACTGGAGACAAAGAAAGTTCTACTCAGTCAAGTTCACGAGGAGCATCTCACAGCTCTGCAACCTCACATAATATACACAATTCACTGGGTTCACACTCATCACCTGATCTTACTGCATCGTTCAAGGAGAGAAATGATGAGATTAATTATGAACACGGAGAAGATAAAAAACTCAAAGCTGAAGAGCCAACTCCAAGTTCAAGAGTACAACGCACAGATCAAAATAAAGAGGAAGAAAGAAAAGATGAAAACATGAATAAAAAGCCCACACTGTCTCGTACCAGAATAAGTTCTTCATTCGCTGAAAGATTTCCTTGGCTTGCCAGCCGTTACCCAGACAAATTTGTCTCAGGTACAAGGACATCATCTCTCAGGCAAAATGGAGGGACATCTTCAACCAGGGTGTCATCGTCTGTTGGGGCTGGCAGACCACTTTCAGGAGGGACAACTACTAGAGTCTCAGGAGCGGCAGGTGTTACAGAAGAATCCTTAAAACAGGAAACCACTAAAGATCTGAGGACTCCATTCAAACACGACTTATTAAAGAACCACGTTGGAGGGAATTCAGTTAAGCCATCTTTGAACAATCAAAATACAAGATCTAGTGACACTAAAAGTCAAACTACCTCATTTCCCCCAACAACCTCCAAATTTTCAAATTCTGACTCCAACCCACTTGAAAAAACAATCAGACCCAAAGATTACAGTGATCCTATTCCCAAAGAGATCTCAAACAATGACGATCACAAGGACAACATAAACGCCAAGAGTAAAGAGAACGAGAAGAACGCTCCAGACCACAAAGCAGCTCAAACAAATCCTATATCTACTTCAGCTGTCCTCAGGAATGGGGAAAATTATGAAAGTGTGAGTACAAGAGAAACTTCATCCAGGAAACGACCAGGTACTTCAACTGGAGCCAGTCCAAGCCACCGTCGTCTCGGTGTAGGAATGAATGGAAGAGTGCGCTCTTCTCTTCTAGCTAACACACAGTTTGGCGGGTCGAGGCTTCCCATCAGGCCACAGCAGGTGCAGAATTCTAGACTGGGTGGTTCAACGTCTGAATCTTCATCTTCATCTTCATCTTCCTTGGATTCCTCTGCCTCCTTAAACTTTCCCAAGCCTGTCCTGAACTCAGCTCACAAAGCTAGAAGCGACACCGCAAATACAAAAATGTGGGGTGGAAACTCTCCCTCCACTTCATCTTCATCTGGTTTGAGACATCAAGGGGCTAGGCCTCACTATCCTGTCATCAGAGGGAAACCAAACAATGGAGGAGGATTCAGACCTGCCAATGGAAATGGTAAAGGCACTTGGTATGTGCATGTGATTAAAAGCTGATGACAGGTACTGTTTAACACAAAAGGCACAGGGATGAGCTTGAGCTAAAAACCTGTACAAAAATGTGTGACATTGTAATAGTTGAGTTATTTTGTAACTCTATAATTCTGCTTTAACTCTGTAACCAGTAGGTAAAAACGAACAACCCAATCTGACAGCAAAAAATGAAAAAGAGACTCCTTTGTCTCGTGGAGCTAGCAAGGCGACTGGACAGAAGTTTTTCACTGGGCCTGATGGAACCAAATGGGTAACAAAGTTTTATGAGTTTATCACAGTTTAATGTCAGAGTTTTTGCACTCGATTTTTTCTTTCTGCTCATAACAGACTTTCACACTTTGTATTGTAACCAACAAATGTGATCTTTATGTTCCTAATATTGCATCTTGCATCTTTAAACTTCAAAATATATATATATATATATATGTTACCGACAGCATTTTATGAAGGAACAAAACCTAAAATTATATCAAGGTCAAGGTTCTTTATTGTCATTCGCATCACATGTGGTAAATGAGGTGGAACGAAATTGTGTACACAGGGTCCCAATTACATCCAACAAAAACAAAAGTATAAATTGTAAAAAAAAAAAAACAGTAAGAAAGATATATATATATATATATATATATATATATATATA